ATTGCATCAGATCTCGAAAGAGTTTGTATTACTGAACACATTAACTTAGCAATATATTTATCTTATTTTATCATTATTATAGTGTGAAAATTATCTTATTTTATCATTATTATAGTGTGAAAATTATCTTATTTATCATGATTATATTATATTAAGAGTTATCTTATTTATCATGATTACATTGTGAATAAGATTACTCTATTTATCATAATTATATTGTGTTTATCATAATTATATTGTGTTAAGGATTATCCTATTTATCATGATTATATTGTGTCTAGGATTACCCTATTTATCATGATTATATTGTGTTTAGGGTTATTCTATTAAATATAATTATATTGTGTCTAAGTTATCTTATTTATCATGTACTTTTGTATCAATTTATTCTTATAGAGAGAAGATTATGAGAGAATTAATCAAGCCTTCTAGAATTATTTTAGAAGTTCAATCTGTGTATAAACTAAGATAATATCTGTAAAATGAATTTTAGACAAAATGAGAATACATTGATTACATGATTATTGATAACTTTTTGGCAAGTATACCAAATCGTTTCAAGTAATACAGTGAATAAGTAAAAGTATCGTTCTTCTAAGGGACTTGTGCAACACATGACAATTCTTCCTTTTATAACTCAATTAGATAGGAAAGTGTAAAAAAAACACAAGAAACTCTTCTTGGTATTTTTATCAAACAGTTAGTGTGCAAGGAATTATATTTAAACGAAACTTTATATTAAAATGCTAATCCCTTACTCAATTTAATATACAATTTGCATTAAGTCCGATGTTAGGAATGATCAAGTTATTGAGTCTATTCCAGGATCCCAAATCACTTAAGTGCTCTATCTATGTCCATGTTCAAAGTTACTTTCCAGTAATCAGAAACATTCAAATAACATTATATTTCCATACAATGATAGTAAATTCAAGAAAGAGCATATGAACTAACAACGATATATTGAACAGGAAAATTACATCAGAGTAAGTTCATTACATCCAATTCCAACTAAAGAAAAACTACTCCTAGTCATCTAAACGTACACATTTGAAGCAATCCCTTGCAAAAAATGGTGTCTTGATGCCTTGAAGTAGTCTCCGGAAGTTCCTGAGATGTTTTCGTTTCTTCCTTTTGTCTGGAACTTCTTTTTGAAGAGAATGTTTCTGTCGCTCTGTCACGTCTTTTAAAGTCACTTAAATTCATTAATTCGCTTAGCGCACATGCACTGTTGCGCTATGCGAATTTTCTTAACTGCTGAACTTTAACTGATATTATTCGCTTAGCGCACAGGTGCGCTATGCGAATTTCCTTCTTCTGGCAGTGCGAATTTTGACTTTTGCTTTGCGAAAATTGTCTGACAGATTCTAAATAATACATCATTTCCTGTACAATATTTTACATAACAATCTACTACCTATTACAACTTTTCAATGAGTAACAACATGAATAATTACAAGATTGAACTCATTTATAAGTATAAAATTAACTCTTTTTCACATTTATCAATAATGCTATAATATACTCATCTAATTCTTATGTAGAGTTGAAACACACTAAAAACACAATAGATAAAACACAAGAACAATAACAGAGAAAACAGCTGTGTGTCTTATTTATACACTAACAACAATGAATCCAATATACTGTGATGCACTCTGTCTTATTTAGACACCAAGAACCATGAATACAATATACTATAGTGTCTTATTTACACAACAATGAATACAATATACTCGAGAACATTCCTATTTACACAATAACAACAATGAATACAATATACTCGAGAAATTCCTATTTACACACTAACAACAATGAATACAATATAGTCGAGAACATGCTAGAAAAAATTATTTCCAAGTTCTGCACCCCTATCTAATTGCCTTCTTTTTGTTTCGCCATATCTCTTTTAATTATTTTAAGGGTTACAACTGTTTCAGAGATCTTTTCTTCAACATATTTTCTTCCTCGTTTAAAGAAGTCATACGGTTCTCCACATTAATGACATTTTCTTCCATTCTTTTCGCCAAAAGAAAATTCTGAACATAACTTTTCATTTCTAGAGAAGGTTTCAGCCACTTCAGGTCAAAATCAAAACACTGAACCTCTTCCCATGCACGTTGGAGATATCGCAACCATCATCATCCATTTCTCTAATTTTCTTAGTCTTCAGAAACAAAAAAAACTTGAACTTCCATCATAATGAAAATCTTTAGACAGTTGCTCTAGGAAGGCTGAAGCTGAACTCCCATCTTAATGAAAATCTTTAGACATGATTCCCTGTATGCCACAATACAATTTGAAGGAGAGTTTATAAGTTAAGATTTGGATTCATTTATATGTTACTAATAGTCACTATTAATAAAAGAATGAATGATAATAGCCATTACACGTATGATATTCAAGCTACTCTCCTTACAACAAGGTACATTCATTATACTTTCACTCTAATTTATGAAAAAAAAAATAATACAATTCATCTTTTCCTCCACTGCAACTAGGAGTGGGCAAATGCAAAGCACGGGTTTTTCTCTGTATCATTAAAAATAACTGCCACACCTCTTATGTATCCCACTAGCCCACACATCATTACACCTCTTAGGCACATACACACAAATCATTTCTTCTTAAATAAACGGGTGTTGTTCCCTCCACCACCACCCTATACTTCATCCACCTCCTCACTTTATTTTAAATACAATTATATCTTTGTTAAAAATATTTTTACTTTTACCTTATTTTAAATAATTTGAAACCAGGTATTGAGGAACATCGAGGAGCGTCCAGAGCATCAACCAGTGTGAGGAAATATACATCAACGGATGTCTCCTAATAAAACAAACCCTAAAATAAAAATTGTAACCTTTAAACGGAGGTGACATCCTTGAATGTCAACATCGGCGTTTTTTCTTAAACGGATGTTGACATCATGTCACCTCCTTTAAAGGTTACGTTTTTTATTTTAGGGTTTTATTTCAAGGTTTATTCGAATATGCACTTGGAGGAAGCACGACACTCACTGCACCACTTCATGCACTGCACCACGAGAGCGACACTGCACCACTAGAGGGAAACTGCTTGATAATTCTTTCCTATTACCACCAACCTTTGCAACTTGTAGTATCACACAAAGACGAAAGAAAAGAGAGAAAGAAATATAATGTTAAAATCAAAGAAAAGGGACTAGAATAGGTTATGAGTAAAATAGGTTGTAAATGAGTAAAATTAAAAAATAATAATCTTAAAAATAAAATTTTACAGTAAAATAATAAAGGGGAGGTGGAGGAAAAAATGTGTGGTGGTGAAGGGAGGAACACCCTCAATAAATTCGTATAATACACCTTCCAAACCCGTTCTGTCTCTATTTTTCTAACAGTGTGTATTACAACATTCTTGTGGTAGACTATCTCTGTTAACCAAGCATTACATGCCTATTTCCTAATAACAGTACATAGTACATACTGACAGGGGTTGCTCTTGAAGACCCATTTGCAGCTCCCTCCATATTTGTGCTTTTTATCAGTCTTTTCATATGTTTCCAGCATTAATCTTGACATATCTTTTGACAGCCTATTATTTGTCTCAAAATGCTGGAGCCATAGCTTGGAAGTACATTAAAGATCCAAACTTGTTGTCTTTCATAGACGCAGAGGTAGATGTGATAACTTATTTGATTCAGCTTGAAGTTTCATGAATTTATTAAGGTCAATGTGTCTTGAATAGTTACTCAGTGCAATGTGTTAAGAGAGACAACATATACTAAATAAGTGTGGAAACCATTCTAGTGGATCTCATAGAAGAGGTTGAGGACAATTGTTATGGGTCCCATCATAGCATTTGAGTCTTAAGCAAACTGTGCTACATGTTTTGTATCTTCTTCCAACCTATTTTCAATTGAGATAGCAGAATTTGACCCAACATTGACTGCTTTTAGTCCTAATAACATACAAATATTTCAGAGTCTTTTTTATTTGAATGTTAAGCGTGTAAATTTTAAAATATAAAGGTCATCCTTCCATTAATACGAAGAATCGGACATGTTTGTTAGACCTATTATTTTTATATCTCGTAACTGATTTTAAAATGATGAAAGGGTTAAATGTAGTGAATATTGGTTTTAATCCAATTTTTTTTTGTTAGATTTGGTCTGTATAATTCATTTAACTTTTAGAAAACAGTCCCTACAATTATTTAGTGACGACTTGACATGACACGCATCTTATTGTCAACAATCACTTAGATGCATTCCGTATTATCAATAGATAGCAAACGGACTCTGTTCATGACTTTTAAAAGTTATAACGACCAAAAGCAACAATTTTTTTAAAGAATAAACCAAAATTCACCACATGTTCAGGGACTAATCATATTGACTCTATATTTCCTGCATGGCCTGACTCTTTTTCTCCCTCCAGGTTCTATGTGACAGACACTTTGGTGGGATCAACTACCCTCTTGGTTCTAGAAATATAAAAAAGAAATGTATAACTATAAAGTTTAATTTTTAAATTTAAATCAATAAAAGTTACTAAATATGAAAAACTCATTTAATATAAAATGTAGTAAAAAGTCTCCATATGCATCTAGACTTTATTTTAAAAAAATGAAAAATTGAACCAGTCATATATTTAACTTGTATATTGTGTATTCTTTTTATAATACAAATAAGAGTGAATGACATATATTTTAAATAGTCGACATATATATTTTTTTGACAGTGATTGATCTTAATTAATAATTTTAGAGGTTTAATCCTAATATTTTATTAAATAGATTAGGTTGAACTATTTATTAAATAGTTAATATTGCATACCAATCATATGGGTGGTGATTACTCACCTAATATGTCAATCAAGTGGACAATTAATTCCAAATTAGTAAACATCTGAATTAAAAGCAATTTTTTTTTGGGTTAAATCAAACATTTTTGTTGATGATTTCTTGAGAATTGTCATTTCAGAAAGGCTTAATCAACTTAACTAGGCTAGAATCTTAGCAAATGGATAAACTTCAGTCAATTAAACATTGTTGCAGAGTTAAGAATCTCTCCAAAACAAGTATCTGAATTCTCCAGATAAAGCTGCGCCTATGATCATAACATGTTATTGCTTGCACTATTGATGTGTTTCACCATGCTAATGCTAAGTGAAATACAATATTCACAAGACTAAATCAAAAAAGCCAGAAGCTCTAGCTACCTAGGTGCACCATTTGGTGTGTGAGTCTTCTTCATTCATTCAGCTAAGAGTGAAGTTTAAGTTAAGCTCCAGATTGAAGTTTCATTCTCCTTAGAGAAAGATATGCCAAGAAACGGTAGCCAAAAACCATGGCTATTAGAGCAGCTACCTCTGTTGCACCACTATCAATTCTGATACCATTTATGATTGGTGAAATGTGTTCATATTGCACCTTCAGCAGAAGTTTGTAGGTGTGGTAGTTGAAAGACATGTACCGAATCCATGAAAAAAATATGGGTACTCTCTGCCAAAGTTAGTTTAGGATCACAAGTTAAACATTCTTCTGAACAATAAAATCAGTAACTAGTCCAAATAAATTGAATTTGACATTTAAAACTGTGTCAATTTTCTTGAGTTCAACCTCTATTGTACTGATGAAAATACCCTGATTGGTTTGATGTTTCATATGAAATAAGGACTGGAATGTTTGTTTACCTGCACAAAAAATCCTCCAGCCAGCATGAAGGTCATCACAGTGACTGAAGCTAAAGTTGTTGCTCTTTTCAAGTCCATTAATGTGGCTCCAATAGCAAGTCCAAGTCCCTGCTTCACACCAGTCATGTTAAGAAGTGAATTTCTTTTACACCTCATTCAATCTTACAAAACAATACGGTGAAGTCTGTATCTACTTATATACGATTAATTAATTTTATCTCTAGTTAATGTGATACGGTGAAGTCTGTAAGAACTGGAAACTATATTTAGAGTCAATGTGGTTTGAAATACTGACTTTTCATAAAGAATTCCTTATTTTGATTTTACTTCTTTTATTCAAAGGCATGAAAAATAGTCTGGACATTTCTTGTTTGTTTACTCAAATGTTTGATAATAATATGGATACTATGAAAGTTTTTTGCATTGTCATTCATATTCGTTGTGTTTTCTAATTGATTGGAAACTAAATGCATACCTGAGCAGCCACTATGCAGAGGAAGACAGTGAGAATTGTGAGGAAAAATGGTGCAACACTGAGTCTGAGACCGGCCATGAAATAAACAACAAGTAGGAAAAGCACTGGTAAAATGAGGTCAAGTGGAAGGTCACTGGTGGTTCTTGCCAGAAAGTATGCACTTAGTCTGTACATATCTGCTGCTCTCTCCTTACTAAGCATGGCTCTTTCTTGAGGAAATGTGAATATTGCAGTGAAAACAGGAAAAAATCCCCAGAAAACAGCAATGAAGAATAGCAATCCTGCCTGCAATCCACAAAGATCAGTATCTTGCAATGTTCATTCTTGTAATAGCATGTCTAATGAAGAAAATACAAGCTAACACTTTCTATTGTTCATTTTTTCTAAGGTGTTATCATTGACTAAAATTTCTTAAGACTCACAAAATGTCATTAACTATAAGTTTGAATGACTTCTAAATTCTAATTAATAATAGAGAACATGTCAGAAAAGGGATGTTTCCAATATTCTAGATGTGTATATGTACTTTTTTTGCCTTTGTTTTTATGACTAGCAGAAATAGCTTACCTGATCTTGCAGATCTTTTGGGTTTTTAGTATCTGATTGCCACCAGAGCAATCCTAAGATGACAGCAGTAGATAAAACTTGAGTGATTCTTAACCAGCTAAAATAGTCATGTCTACGTTCTTTGATTCCTCTCCAAAATAATATGGAATATTGCTCATCCCAACTTGCTCCCCATTGTCTCTTATGAGAACAGACTTTAGACTTCACTGCTTCATCAAGAGGTATAGGAACCATTAGTCTTTTCTTTTCTGCTTCTGCCACTCGAGTTTCATATGCCTCCACCAGATACTGTTAAAATTCATCTTTTGTGAGATCAATGTTTTCTCATCTTGAGATCCTTTATACTTGAATGATGTTAAAACTCAAGACTAAACTACATAAAATTTGCTTGCCATGTAAACAACTTTTGTACATACTATGGTCTGCATACTGATAATGTAAAGAACTTTTGTACAGTATCATTTAATCAAGAATTGACATGCATGATAAGTTTGATAACTTTTACAGTAACACTTTAAAATTCATATCTACCATGACCAATTTCTAATTTTAGAGTGCAAGTTCTTTACAAATGCAATATTACAAAGTGCTGTGATGGTTACCTCGTGTACAACTGCTGGTGATGGTTTCCCATTTGGTGTTTCTGCTTCTGCATTTTCCATGTGCACTCTATCTTCCAACTCTGAGGGTAGGGAGACATCATTTATGTTTCCATTGGCAAGGTCTAGCAAAAACTCTGCTGGGTTCATGGAAATAAGTGGTGAACATCCTATAGACTGGAAGTAAGTCATTGCTTCTGATGCTTTTCCAAAGTAAAGCAAGCTCCCTTTTCCCAGAAGGATCAACTTGTCAAATTTGTGAAATAGTCTGCTAGATGGCTGGTGGATTGTTGTCACCACTGTTTTACCAGCCTATAATTGCATTTAACAAGCTAGTGATAAAGGTTTAGGCATGGCTAAGAAATCATGCAGGTTCATCACCAAAGAACAGAAATAATGGATCAAATATGTGAATAACTAAATGATTAGATATGTTTTTAGTCCAAAACTGTCACAAAATTGGAATTCGTTAAATTTGATTTTACTCGTCAAAATCTTTGGATATTATGATATAACAAATACCTCTGCTATGTCTTGTAGCATCTGAACGATCCTCAAGGCTGTTGTGGAATCCAAACCAGATGTTGGTTCATCAAGAAAAAGAAGAGAAGGGTTGATTATGATCTCATTTCCAATACAAACCCTCTTCCTCTCACCACCAGAAACTCCACGCACAAAGGAACCTCCAATCATAGTGTCTTGGCACCTTTTTCATACATAAAATATAAACTATTGGCTTCCACAAGTAGTAAATAACATGTAAAATGGTTATGCTGCTCTATTCTTCACTCCTTACCATGTCTTTCTCTATCAATGTGACTTTTGTGCTCATAATAATTAAGACATTCATTGTTAAGCATGGAATGGAACCATTTACCTCTCCAAGCCAAGCTCATAGATTACATCCAAAGCTCGTTTTTCCTTTTGCTCCTTTGTGTATGTCTTTGGAAGCCTTAGCCTGGCTGCGTATGTCAAAGTCTCTTTCACAGTTAAGTGAGGAAACAGAACATCGTCTTGTGTCACAAATCCTATCCTGCCACATGTTTCACGTAAGCTCATTTTGCCCACACAAACAAACATAAGCACACCATTCGAAGAAAAAAATAGTGTTAAACCTCTATCTTATTGATGGAAGTACATTTTTATGACTGACAAACTTGTAACCTTAAAGAATAACTTGTTATATACGATAAGTTGGTTAACTCTTAGAATAATTACCTTAAAGATAATTTCTTTAGTTTAATTTTAAGTACCCCATTCATTTTCAGTGTTGAATATGTTTGTTGCAGATGCACTCGGTAAGGTGGTGGTATCCACCATTAAAGAAAGTAAATCTGGCTATTATATTTGTGTTTTACCTGCTCTTAAGGAACTTAGATTATGGTTGATCATTGTAAGTGATAGATCCACCACTTATAGGATGGCATAACCTGCCTCCAAGAAGGTTTAAAAGAGTTGTTTTTCCACTTCCTGAGGGACCCATCAATGCCAAAACTTCTCCTGGATTTACAGAACCAGTTATCCCATTCAAGATATCCTTCTCCTCAGTTGTTGTCATGCCTTTGATCACTATCTTGTAGCACACATCCGTGAACTGCACATTTCACAGCAAGAACAAAACTCGTTATATGTGTGTGAATCACTAACACATCATCACAACTATTACTCAATGCACCAGAATATATGTATTATATATAGCCATGTTATAAAGTTCAAGATATATATGTAAGTAGATCTGCTAATTTATTTGTCTGGTTAACTGGAAGAAGGGGGGTAGGACTAGTACTGTGCATTGATGCTGCATGAAATGAAACATAGTACAAGACTGAACCTGATGATCATGCTATATAAGCTACCGAGCCATGTTCTATTGGTTAAGTTGATTGTTAAAGGAAGCTTGATTCATGCCTGGTGAAATACACAGGACCAGATCAAAGTCATGTTCTATTATTACTGAATAGAAATTTAGTTTGAAGCTTTGAATCCTGGCAGAGGATGGTGTACGTAGAGATGGAAACAAAATTATACATGTAATAGGTGTGCATTACCTTGAGAAATATGGGTAAAGTAGGTTCCGTTTGAAACTTTGTCCTAGGTCCAGCTTCGATATCTTCAGCTGCAACATACATAGTTAACAACCCTTTTAAAAAAGAAGCTCTCCTACAATCAGAAGCCATCACGTTACAGTTTCACCTCTAAAGAAATGAATAAAAAGTGTTTGTTCTTGATCTTGACTAAGTGTGTGTGGTGGTGTTATCCTGAAAGGGTAAATATCTTTAAAGTGATTCAGAATGAACTATGCATGGATGCTTCTCATGTCAGTGACACTACATGATCCATTAAAAGGGTGCAACATTTGCTGGTGATGAAAACTCGTGTGGGGTAGCATGGACCATGGTTAGGCATTGACATGAACCAGTGAAGTTGCATCCTCATGGCGGTGAAAGTGAAAAGTCAGCCTGAAATTAATCTAGGGGCCCAAGCATGAGGCAATTTGCTCTCCCAGAAAAAAGGAAGAAGGGGAAAAAAACACAGAAAGAGACAGATTCACTTGTTTGTGGAGCCATAGGTACGACATAATTAACAGCTAAATTGTCTTTCGAAGACATTAGTCAACAAAATGTGTCATGTTCCCCGCATAACAGTACTATGAAAATAAAATGTTTGGAACTTTATATGAGAGAACATGGAGAAAGAAACCAAAAGCTTGAGTTTGAAGTCTCTCCAATAACATGAAAAGCCACCCCATGAATCACATCAGAAAACAGTGCATGCATGAATATATAACAAGATAATTATAGTACAATATTTTTTAAACTTACTTTGTACTTTCATCTACCAGAAATATGCTTCTCATTATCTTATAAACATAAATCAATTTTTAATGTCTAATTTTTATTAAAAAATAGTTAGATTTCTCCACTCAATCACATTTAAATTTGAAGTATATTTCGTTTGTTTCTCTCTCTAAATATGGTATACTTGTCTAATTTACGATCATTAAGTTTCGTTAGTTAATAATATTAACTTTATCTATAACTGTAATATTTTTTTCAAAATTATGTTTAAATAAAAAATATATTGAGAGAGAACAATCGTGTTAGAGTTTTAAATTATAACGCTAAATTTTTCAATTTTAATAGAAGAGAAGAATATAAATTTTATTTACCATCTACGTTAGTAGAATTAAGGGTGTTTTGATAAAATAAATAAAATTAAAAAAAAGAGTCTCTTAAGATATATTTAAAAAACAAAGGAAGTACATATATAGGTGATAAAATTAGCAAGTTTAAAATTTTACTCTAAACTTATTTTAGAGTCACTATCAATTTATATAAATTTTTACTCTTGCCCTTTTCATTGTGATTTTGCTAGCATATGAGTTTGACCAATATTAAACTATTTAGTACTTTTTTAAAATTTTAACGTAATTATTTAACATGTTCTTTAATATTTTATTTCGACACGTTTATTTATACTCAATATAATATTGTACACTAAAATAAAGTAAACCAATGAAATACCAATTGGTTTTTCTTTTCACAAAACTGATCCATTATATAGAAAATCCTATTCAAATGATTGGATCGATTGGTTTATCTAAAAAGGGTCATTAAACGACATAATTAGTGTAAATGGTTGATGTTAATCAATGTTTAATATAAGTATAAATGTTAGCAATGTGATTAAAAAAAATAAAAAAAATCATTGACATGTGTGTGAAAAATAGTGATGGAATTATTAATGAGAAGAGGTATGATTGGTGTAATGAAAGAGACAGTTATGTGGGGCCACTAGTGTGAGTTGTGTTTGTTTGGATCTCGAATCACGGGCTTTGTGGTTAAAGTGGTTGCTTAGATTGGACCCATCTTCGAAATCTACCACAACCTATTTCATGTAAATCTATCCAATTTTATTTTTATTATTAAATGGTTTTTAATTCATAAGTTTTTATAAGAAAAATATGAAAATAAATAAATATTGGTTTTTTTTTCAAAATTAGACATCTCTCAAGTTAGTATCATTACGAGAAAAGGACAATTTAACAATATAGAATCACATCCCTTAATAATTATATTTTTTTTAGGATATAAAAAATAAATTAAAATACATACAAACAACGACACCAAAAACTCATGCAATAAAAATATTATTTAGATAATTCAAATCTATTTCTAAAAAAAAATATGATTAATACAAACAGACATATTTTCATACCAAAAGAAAAAAAATTAATTCATCTTTTTAAAAGTGCTCACAAAATTTGTTTTCTAATCTCGTCATGTTTAATCATAATACTTAAAGAAAGTTGATATTGATAAATTGAATAATATTTTTTATAAAAGGAAAAGCTTATGGACATCTTTCAACAATTTTTTCTTGAAAGAGAAAAGTTAAATAAATTTGTCTATAAACTAAAATAAACTTTTATATATATATATATATATATATATATATATATATGTGTGTGTGTATATATATATATATATATATATATTAATAATTGATGATTATTTTATAATCGAGTATCTGTCTAACAAGGAAACCAATCCAACCTAAACAAATGCTAAAATATTATTACATTTTTTATATTTGATCAAATTTGTTTTTTAATACAACAACACTTTAATCATTTTGTAAATTTAAATTAATTTTTTACTTATTTTATCATATTAATCTAATATTCAGTGCACTGTTGTTGGCGTACAAAAAAAACTGCACTTTTTAGTCTCTCTTTTTTTTATTT